GTTTTATCACATCGGGTTTATGTTCTGAGAACACTGCGTTTGTTCTTAGAGCATGTTTGGGTTCTACGAGCACTTCGTGGCAGGACTATAGGAATGCCGGGACGGTCGGTCCCTGCTCAAAGAGTGACCCTTCGCCGGAGTGGCCTCGAGTGCGGGCCCACTGGGGTGTCCCCCGATCGCCGAAGGCGATGGGGCAGCAGCGTCTTGCGCGCCGGCGTTTGGCCCCCCCGCGGCCCTGGAGAGGCCGCGCGCCAAGGGGTCGCTCTTGCGTGTGGTCGATCTGGCGATCTCGTGGGCCATGTTCGTTCTGACTTCATTTTGCGGCAGAGGCGGAACGAAGGCAGAACAAGGCAGCACGAAGCAGGCAGGGAAAAACACACAGACACAATGAATCGTCGATCTCCAGGAAAATATAGGAAAATATGCGAAGTGGGGGGGTGACAAAAAACCCAGAAAATATTAAAAAAAGGGAGTCCTGTTATTTGTATGTATTTTCCTATATCCTAAGATGGGGTTCTTGTTATTACTTGGACGCCTTCTACTCCTTCTTTTTATCCTTCTCCGCCCCTCTCCTCCTCATACCCAGACTTACTCATACACAGACTGATTCACACTCAGACTTACTCATACCCAGACTTACACACACAAAATTACTCAGACTCAGACCTACTCATACTCAGACCTACTCCTACTCAGACTGACTCATGGTGAGACTCACGCACGCCCCGTTCGCGGCCATTTTGTGGTGATGTCTCAAGCGGTTTGCCCGTTTTCTGTCCCAACATCCTTGGCTACCCGAGCAGATTGTGAGGATGTCTCGAGCGAGGCGCTCACTTTCACACCCCTAATGGGAGCCGCCAGGGGTTTATCTCACGGTCCCGTTCGGGCTGTTTTGTGGTGATGTCTCAAGCGGTTTGCCTGTTTTCTGTCCCAACATCCTTCGCTTTCGGAGCAGATTTGGAGGATGTCTCGAGCGAGGCGCTCATGTTCACCCCCCTAAGGGGAGCCGTCAGGGGTTATCTCACGGTCCCGTTCGCGGCCGTTTTGTGGGGATGTCTCAAGCGGTTTGCTTGTTTTCTATCCCAACATCCTTCGCTTTCGGAGCAGATTTGGAGGATGTCTCGAGCGAGGCGCTCATTGTCACCCCCCTAAGGGGAGCCGCCAGGGGTTATCTCACGGTCCCGTTCGCGGCCGTTTTGCGGGGATGTCTCAAGCGGTTTGCCTGTTGTCTGTTCCAACATCTTTCGCTTTCGGAGCAGATTTGGAGGATGTCTCGAGCGAGGCGCTCATTTTCACCCCCCTAAGGGGAGCCGCCAGGGCTTATCTCAGCGGCCGTTTTGTGGTGATGTCTCAAGCGGTTTGCTTGTGGTTTGTCCCAACATCTTTCGCTTTCGGAGCAGATTTGGCGGATGTCTCGAGCGAGGCGTTCATTTTCTCCCGCCTAAGGGGAGCCGCCAGGGGTTATCTCACGGTCCCGTTCGCGGCCGTTTTGTGGGGATGTCACAAGCGGTTTGTTTGTGTTCTGTCCCAGCATCCTTCGCTGCCGGAGCAGATTTGGAGGATGTCTCGAGCGATGCGCTCATTTTCACTTCCAGGTGGGCCAGATTTTGAGGATGTCTCGATCGGTTTGCATGTTTGGGTGGCCAGGCTCGTGGGCGCAGATTCTTTTCATAATGCCACAGGAGGCTCCAACAGGCTCCAGGAGGCCCCAGGAGACCACATGAGGTCCCAGGAGGCATCAGGAGGCCACAGAAAGACTCAAGAGGCCACAGGATGCCTCAGGAAGCTCCAGGAGGCCCCAGGAAGCTCCAGAAGGCCTCAGGAAGCCACAGGAGGCCACAGGAGGCCACGGGAAGCGCCAGGAGGCCTCGGAAGGCAACATGAGGCCCCGAGGCCCCAGGAGCAGGAGGCCTCAGAAGGCAACAGGAGTGGCTCCAATCCCATGTGTTTTACGTATGCTCCTATCGATTGGGCCTCACCTGGAGCACGATTCCTTGATGTTATACGTATGTTTCTATAGATTGTCCTTCTCCTGTGTACACAATCCTACATGTTTTACTTATGTTCCTATATATTGGGCCCCTGGGGCACGAGTCCTTGTTTGTTTTACGTGTGTTCCTATAGATTGCCCCTCTCCTGTGGCTCTAATCCGCAATGTCTTATGTAAGTCTGTTGCTATAGATTGGGCCTCTCCTGGGGCACGAAACCTCCCTAGGAGGTCCCAGGAGGCCCCAAGAGGCTCCTGGAGACCCCAGGACGCCCCAGTAGGTTTCAGGAGGCCCCAGGAGGCCCCAGGCTCATGCGCAGAGACGCGCTCGTACTACTGAGGCTCATTCACACTCCAATTCATTCGCAGTTAGATTCATGTCCAGACCGTCGCAACTGAAACCCATTTATATTCGAAAGCTCTTGCGCCTAGACATGCACGGCGGACAGGTCCGTGCGAATAGATGCACACATGGGGAGCTCCACGCAGTGAGTAATTCTTTGTGTGTCCCAGGGCCCCTTCAACGAAGTCGAAGCGAAAACGGAAACACGGTTTGGTCCGAGCCCTGCCCCATCTGCTGTCAAGCTGTGCCTGATCTCGCCCACGCTACGGACGCGGGACACCGCCAGCCGAGGAGCAAACCATGGCGTGAGCAGAAATTTCTGGAGGAGGAGGAGGAGGAGTTGGAGGAGGAGGGGGAGGAGGAGGAGGAGGAGGAGGAGGAGGACGAGTAGGAGGAGAAACTTCTGGAGGAGGAGGACGAGAAACTTCTGGAGGAGGAGGAGGAGGAGGAGAAACTTCTAGAGGAGGAGGAGGAGAGGAAACTTCTGGAGGAGGAGGAGGAGCTGGAGGAGGAGGAGGAGGAGGAGGGGAGGGAGGAGGAGGAGGAGGAGGAGGAGGACGGGGAGGAGGAGGAGGAGGAGGGGGGGAGGAGGAGGAGGAGGAGGAGTTGGAGGAGGAGGAGAGGAGGAGGAGGGAGGAGGACGAGGAGGAAAAGGAGGCGGAGGACGAGAAACTTCTGGAGGAGGAGGAGGAGGAGGAGAAACTTCTAGAGGAGGAGGAGGAGGGAACTTCTGGAGGAGGAGGAGGAGCTGGGAGGAGGAGGAGGAGGAGGAGGAGGAGGAGGAGGAGGAGGAGGACGGGGAGGAGGAGGAGGAGGAGGAGGAGGAGGAGGAGGAGGAGGAGGAGGAGGAGGAGGAGAGGAGGAGGAGGAGGGAGGAGGACGAGTAGGAGGAGAAACTTCTGGAGGAGGAGACGAGAAACTTCTGGAGGAGGAGGAGGAGAGGAGAAACTTCTAGAGGAGGAGGAGGAGAGGAAACTTTGAGGAGGAGGAGGAGCTGGAGGAGGAGGAGGAGGAGGAGGAGGGAGGAGGAGGAGGAGGGGAGGGAGGGAGGAGGAGGAGGGGAGGAGGGGGAGGAAGAGGAGGAGGAGGAGGAGGGAGGAGGAGAGGAGGAGGAGGAGGAGGAGGAGGAGGACAAGCTAGGCGCTGGAGCCCCTGGCAGCGCTTCCGGCGCCGCTCGTGGCGCGCTCCGCGGGCCAGGGAGGGGGTCTGGCGCCGATCCAGAAAATCGGCGCGGACCCCGGTGATTGATTCCCCAACCATTGCTTGCACTCAGGGGGAGGAGGATGAGGAGGAGGAGGAGGAGGAGGAGGAGGAGGAGGAGGAGGAGGGGGATGATTGATTCCCCAACCACTGCTTGCACTCAGGGGCTCTTACTTGTGCGCCATTGCTCTCAGGAGCTGGGCTCTGTGGGCGGTCTGGCGGCGCGGTGACAGCCGTCGCCGCCCCGTCGCCGCCCGTGGTCCTGGGCCCCGCGGGGGCTGCCTGGCGGCGCCGTGCCGGCGGTGGCCGCCGTGTCGCCGCCTCGTCGCGGCCTCGTCGCGGCCCGTTGCCGCCGTGGAATCCCAGAGATCCAGCGTATCGAAAAAATCAGGACGGAGGTTTTTCTAAATTTTCGGCCTCTAGCGGCCCTCGCCGGGCCCTGGGGCTGTCAAAAAACGACTCGGGATGAAAAACCAGTCTTGGGGAATAGGTCGAGACTTCCGGGGACCCCGTCCTGAAAAAATCACGACATCGGATCTCTGGGATTGCACCGCGACGAGTGTCGGGTATAGCCAGGACCCCAGGTAAAGGCACCCGGTTAGTAGTAAGGCCCCAGAGCCCCCAAATGGGCCAGAGTCACCAAGCCAGGTCTGCCGCAGCTGGTGTTTTTCGGGTGACGGCAGTTCCGGTTAGTGGAACGTTTCGGGGTGGGGGCGTCCCCCAGTACACATCACCAAACCAGGTCCCACTAAGCCCAGTGCTGCCAGCGCCCGAGAGTGCACGGAAAAGGCTGTGCCTGTGGCGCGCTTTTTGATCGCACACAACATGAGCTGCACCACATACAGAGCGCCCAAGAAAGGGCCTCGCCTTCGAGGATCGAAGGGGTTGCCATCTCTTCCTCGGCGGAAGGGCGGCGGAAGGTCGGCGAAAGTATGACGAGGCCGCCTCTGACGGCGGAAGCCGGCGGAAGCTCGGCGGAAGCTCGGCGGAAGGTTGCGGAAGTAAAAAGTTGCGTTCCAAGAGATGAACACGGTTTTAGGTTCAGGATTTCCGAAGTCGCCCATATCATGGACAACTCAGAGGGCATCACATAGACTGCATAACAGTTCGTGCAGAGTGCAGAACCACATGCACTGCACCATATAGATTGCACAACGTTACGTTGCACCTCTTATATTGCACAACACATGTTGCACAACCACCTTTATTGCACAACATAGATAGCACAACATGGACAGCACCACGTATATTGCACCGCATATACTACACTACATAGTTTACTTCGCATCGATGCCACCACATTGACTGCACCACATAAATTGCAACACGTACACATATTCCACAACATAGACTACATCACATTAATGTTACAACGTGTATTGCGCAAGATATATTGCACCATGCATACTGCTCTACATGTATTGCACAGCATCGACAACATCACATCGATTGCACACGCTAGGTTGCTAGAAACACACCGTTTGGGGTCCACGCTGGCTAACATGTTTACGCATGTAGTGTTTCATTCCTCGTGCCGGACATGTGCTGGGCGATGGCGCGGGCAGCGCGAGCGTGAGGGAGATCCAGTCGTTCTACAACACTGACGCGCACACGCAGGGGACAGCCATCAACCGCGCCACCGGCAAGCTCAGCTATGCCTCGCTGCAGGGGTACCTGGACGAGGGCGAGGACACACGGGAGGAGTATCTCCGGTTCGGGGAGCGGGGGCTCGCGGACATGGTCGCCGCCATCGAGGCCGAGGTTGGGCAGGACTCCTCGGAGGAGGGTTGTTGCCTCGGCTGCGTCTTGTGCGTGGGGCACGCGGTCGATAGTTCGTCCATCGCGCTGGCCACCCTCAGGGCGCTCTCCGGAAACGCCGACGTTGCGTCGCCCACGCCCCACATGTCAACCGTGCTGAACATCGTCCAGGACACCGTGAGCGGAATTCTCGTGGACACAGCGTGCGGCGTCCGTGCCGAGTACTTCAGGTGCAGCGACGCGGCGGCGGTCGCGCCTCCATGAGGTGCGGAACCCCATCTCGCATCCTCCCTCCCTTTCTCCCTCCTCTCTCGCTTTCTCCTCCCTCCTCCATCTTCCCTTGTCATCCCCCTTCCCCCTTTCCTCCTCCTCCTCCTCCTCCTTCTCGCCACCACCACTACCACCATCACCACCATCATCATCATCATCATCATCATCACCACCACCACCACCATCATCATAATCATCGCCACTACACAACCATCAGAACCACCACCATCATCATCATCATCATCATCATCATCATCATCATCATCATCATCATCATCATCACTATCATCATCATCATTATCAGCATCACCCTCATCATCATCCTCATCATCATCATCATCATCATCATCATCATCATCATCATCATCATCATCATCATCATCATCATCCGCTTCCGTTTTGTATCAAGTTCTACTCTTGCCCCTGAGGAATTGAATTGCGCGCAGCCGTGGGGAGGGCTCAAGGACGCGCACCAGGAATTTCTCCACACTTCGACCCCTCTAGCGAAGTGCCCTGCAGCTGGAGGATTGTTTCACTCACAACATTCCTCGGCCAGACATGGATGCCGCTCGGATGCGTCTCATCATGGGGGGGGGGCTGCTGGCACTTGTCATCGATAACATCTCGAAAGTCGACACCAACCTCGCCAGCCTTGACCAGCGCCTCACCGAAGGCACCGCCCAGAACGCGAATTCGATCGTCATCATGCAGGAGTCCATGGCGGCACATGCTACGAGGACTGGCGAGTCCGAGAAGAAGCTGCAGGGGCTCCAGCGGGATGGAAACGCCAGACTGGAGGATGTCAACGAGATTGCTGCCACGTGCTCTGCCGCTGCGCCTGCAGACGCTCGGGGCCCACTATGCGGACTTGGACCACAAGCTCAGAGATGCTGCTACATCGCCAGCTGCTTACAGTACCACTCACAGCGGCTCGGCCACGTGTGCGCCCCTCTGCGCCTTCTGACGAAACGCGAGTCTTGGTTCGAGTCTTCCCCAAGAAGCAGTTGAAGGTCGCTGTCGAAATGCATTCCACCATCATCAGAAGCTCCATGTTTGACGAGTTCCGCGAGAAGTGCCACGGCCAGTGCCAGAGCCTGCGGCGCGCCTTTGCAATCAAGTTCGACGAGGCCGGACGCGCCAGGCCAATCTACGAACATGTTCACGACCATCCAGTTCGATTCACTCGCGCGACGACAGTTGATGATCGCCACGACCGTCGGATCGGATTTGACGAACCGCACGACGTCAAAAAGACACGTTTCCTTCCCAGTTTGATTTGGAAGACGCGCACGGATGGGCGCTGGAGTTCAGCAGTTGCACTTGCAAGTAAAGAGTACCATGCTCTCTGCTACGCCACCGTCAATGACGTGCCAGTGAACTTGGTCACCCTCGCCTAGTGGTCGGAGACCGCAGCTTTCATCAACGTTGACGCCCTGAAAGACTTCTGATTCAGAAAGACTTCTGATTCACCGAGGAGCAGATTCAGGACTTGCCCGCCGCCGCGTGTCACGCATGTGCTCAGGAGAAATTCCGATGCATGTGGGGAGAGCTCTGCTGCCGCCGCTGCCAGTACTTTGGGGTAGTTCGTTTGATCGCTTGAAGGGGAAACGTTTCAAGGGCCATCGTCCTTCTCGCTCACCATCGCCTCCTGGCAGTGGTGATGCTCCGAATGTGCATCTATATTGGCTTGGGCAGAGTTCCCTGAGGCGCGCGTGGAATTGGCGAGCTTTCTTCGGAAGTGCGTGCGGAGACCCATCGAGAAAGGAGCACAAACTAAGTAAGTTCTGCACACGAATCGAGACACGTACCGTTGCACACGCGCAGGAGACGTGGAGCTGATGCAGTTCTTGAAACTATATGTCGCGGTTATCCGCCACTTACTCACTTTGGTTTTTTGCTGGGACAACCAGCGCGCTGATGGTGTGACTATCAACGTCGCCAACTCCGTCCAGTCTAACTTCGCAGCTGCGGAGCCGGTGTAGATGAACTGCGGGCGGCTGCTCTCCGTTGCTCTGCGAGAACGTAAGGGCGCCCTCAAATGCAAGAACTTCCCCCTTGACCCCGCCCTCAAAGATCCTCCGCAATCTCGTACTATGAACACCGTCGGTGAAACGATGCCAGTACCTCAACGCGTTCAAGTTTCCCTGCAGGTGATGTCAGCTTCCTCGTGTCAGAAGAATACCGACCAGGACCGATGGTGAGTCGCAGCGCCCTGAGCGTCCAGCCCTGCTGCGACACTTCCGCCAACCGCTTCCTGTTTCTCTCGATTTGGCTAATTTCGAGCCTGTGCGTAAGTCTCGAGATCTGGGGGGGCGGCGTTCGGCCCCCGGGGCGATGGGGCGGGATTTATGCGACGGCGCCGCGCGCGGTGAATTTGGAAGCAAAGCATTCTGCCAGGATCATTGGGGGCGCTTTGGGGGCAGACGAACAGAGCGATCATGTTCTTGTCCTTTTTCGTTTCACTCCTGGCACCCAGGCTTTTGCGGCGATGCCCCCGCGGGTCACAGCTCGCCCTGGAAGTTCCAATCCCGTTGAGGAGGCCATGGGTCAGATCGATCTCTCCAAGCGCCCGCCCCCGGCCCTCGCTGAGACCGAGGAGGCTGAGACTAAGGAGGGCGCGAAATACGCTATCGATGGCATTAAGGCTCGCGCGCGCAGCTGCGGGGCAGGAGTTGATGCGCACTGCTTGGCCGCGCGCCTCGAACGCACGCGTGCAAGCATGGCCCGCAACGCGAGCGGCGCTTGGAAGCGCGTTCGATTTCCATCCTGGGCCACAGCAATGGACTGAGGGCAAGCGCGCACATCATTGGCAACATTCGGTTCCACGATCACGCGCGCGTTCTGCGAGCGCGCACTCTGGCTCTAGAAGTTCGCGAGCGCGAGCGACCACCTTCGACCCGGTAATGGGCTCGCTGTCCAAAGTCATGGCGCCCGAACCAGATGCGACCATCCCCGGCGGGCGTTTTTGGGCGAAGACGGGCGCGAGCCCGCCTCCCTCGAGAACGGCGACGCTCGCTTTGCCGCGCGCTGAGGGCGCGTTCGCGCGGTCGCTGCCGGCGCCGGCGTTTCTGAGCTTATGTCGGACATGCTTCTTGCCCGCCGTTAAAAGCGGCCCCTGGCATCGACTGCGCCGCCCAGCTGTTCGACCCCCGGGCTTTTCGAAGACGAAAGAAGATTCCGCCGCCGCCGGGCCCGATGGGGCCCCGCGTCGGGCCGGGCCAGAAGCCGCGTGAGACGCGCGGAAATATTATGCGATGTTCACTTGGCGATGTTGCCTCGCGCGCCCCCCGCTGCCGGCTTGAACCGCGGCGCCGCCGTCTTTTTGCCCGGCGGCGTCGGCGGCGAATCGGCGCTGCCCGCGCAGGAGAGGCCCCGGGAGACTGGGCCTCTATTCTTCTGCTACACCGATGATAATACGCACCTCTCCGCTCGGCGCCCCGCTCGGCCAGCAGGCGCGGAGCTCTTCGCGCGTCGGCCGGGCGGGCGCCATCAGAGGGCGCAGCGTGCTAGTCATACTTGCGGAGGTGTGGGCGCAGTTGTTGAAGTTTTCGGACTTCCAGGATTGTCCGCGGGCTGGTTCGCGTCGCCTGGGCCCCCTGGCCGCTGCTCTTGGGTTCTCGCGGCTCTGAATCGCCAGGTGGCCCCGCGGCGCGCCGCGCATGCTGGTCAGCAGCTGCGCGTCGATATCTATTCCACCGATGGTTACTGCGTCTCGAAGGGGCGGGGCAGGGGCGCCCGCTGTCTCGGTGCCCTATTTGCCATCACCGCGGATTTTGCCTTCCGCCGTTCACGTGCTATCCTGGCTCCATCGGCGCGGCCATGTGCGCCAGCTGCCGACGTCGGCATTGTCCCGAGCGGCTTGGTTGCACCACCCCCTTGCTTGCGACGCGCTATCTGTCGCGCGGCGTTTTTGATTGGACTCGCGCTGAGTGGTCAAGAATGCGGTCTCGTCTTTGCTGTGCCTCGCGTCCCGCGCAAGGTCGGGGCCGCGTTCCGTGGGGCTGGGGTGCGGGCCCTCAAATCAGTGTTTGCGGCAAACGCTTGGGCGCCTTCTCTGGCCCCGATGGGCCCGAGAGTTCCCAGCTGGCTCCTGGGGTCGATTCTGCCAAGCGGGCCCAGCGCATCAAGGGCTTGTCTTAAGGTCGCTGCCAGAACACCATTGCTTGCCACTCGCTCGCCTACTCGGTCTTGAGCTTGCTCGGGCGGCCGCAGGAGCCAACGCCGTCTTGTCTTGAGAAGACCAAAAATGCGCATCAGCGGCCCGCGTCTTTCCCGCGACGCACGACCCCAGCTGGCCCCGCGCCCCCCCCCCCCGCCGCTAAACTTTCCGACGGGCCCGAGGGCCTGGGGCGCGAAGCATGGTTAGCGCGCTTCGGGCTGCTATGCAATCTTGTATGTTTGACGAAGTTCGCGGGCGGGGGGTCGCGAAGCTTCGCGATGTCGAGAAAATGACCGCTTTACCGCGCTGCTTCGCCCGAAGTGGCGCCGCTGCAGCATGCGCGTCGTGCTTGCATCTCCCTGTCCGCCCCCCCTCGCATGATAGACGACCCCAGCCCCCCCAATGGCAAAAAAAACGCGCCAGATCCTGAGGTTCCGCGAGGCACCGTGAAACCCTGGCGCGGCCCTCACCCCGTGAACCCGTCTCTTTTAACCCGAAGCCCCCCGTCCCCTAAGCGATCTAGTTGTATCTAAATTCAGGCTTGTTTGTACCCCTTCTTGCCTCCATTGTGGTGGCGGCGCATTTGAAAAGAATCTGCAACGCGTGGGCGCCAGGTGTGTCAGTTCGGCTGTAGAGCCTGTGGAGGCGAACGCATGTTGCATTACTTTAACTGCCCTGTCGTTATTGAAGCTATATCCAAGGGTTTTGTTTCCCGCACTTGCCTAAAGACTACCACGGGTTGTCTGCCCGCGAAAGATTGCTGCCAGCACGCAGCCCCCTCTACCCCCTACTCATCTATTTCGGCGATTCTTGCACACGATATCGTATTCAGTACATTTACCTCATTGCGCGGCCTGAAGCGGTTCGGCTCCGAATGCATAGCATGTTTCTTGGATGCGCGGGCCAGGGCAACTGCGATCCCCAAGCTGGCCATCATAGCCCTGTTTACAAGGTAGCATGGTGCGTGGAGGGGCTGCGCCATAATCAGCATCATCATCATCACCACCATCATCAGCACCATCACCAGCATCATCATCATCATCATCATCATCAACAACATCAACATCAACATCAACATCAATATCATCATCGTCACCACCATCCTATCCGAGCCATCTCCTTCCTCCTCCTCATCCCTCCTTCTCCCCCCCCCCTCCGATGCCACCCAGCACCCATTGAGCGTCCTGGCGGGCGCGGCAGTGCTTCCACGCGCATGGTGCCGCGCGCGAACAGAGCTATCCCTCCTTTTCCTCCTCTTCCTCCTCCTCCTCCTCCTCCTCTTCTCCCTCCTCTTCCTCATCACCATCATCATCATCGTCATCAGCATCAGCATCATCATCATCATCATCATCATCATCATCATCATCATCATCATCATCATCATCATCATCATCATCATCATCATCATCATCATCATCATCATCATCATCATCATCATCATCATCATCATCATCATCATCATCATCATCATCATCGCGCACTCCCTCCATCCTCAAGCTGCCTCCCTGAGCTTCCCGTCGCAAGGCTGGGGCCCGCGCGGCAAGGCAGCTGGCTGAGCCTATTGCAGCCCTGGCCGAGAGGGGGCCTCTGCGATCGATGGTTCTCTCGCTTCTGCCAGTTATGGGCGCCTCGTTGGCACATGGCCCGCGTGGCCCGCGTGGCCACGACTGCTTTTCCGCCTCCTCCTCCTCCTCCTCCTCCTCATCCTCCTCCTCCTCCTCCTCCTCCTCCTCCTCCTCCTCCTCCTACCTCCTCCTCTCCTCCTCTCCTCCTCTCCTCCCTCCTCCTCCTCCTCCTCCTCCCCCTTCTCCTCCTCCTCTTCCTCCTCCTCCTCCTCTTCCTCCTCTTCCTCCTCCTCCTGAGCAGCTCGAATCGTGCAGTAGCATTAACTATGAGCAGTCAACATGTTGCAACTCTGATCCCCATAGTAGAGTGGGCAGCGAGGCGGAAACAGGTTTCGGTGGTGAGGACCCTGACTCCCACGGCAGCGAGGAAGACCCGTGGATCCACGAGGCCAACTTCGGACTGGCCGCCCCGACCGCCCCCGCCTCTCTTGTGGAAGATGAGCCTCAGTCGAATTCAGTCCAGCGTGAGAACCCCACCCCGTGCACCGCCCCTGTCGGGTCAGGTTCTGCACCACCAGTGGAGAGTTCAGGGTCCCCCGTTTCTCCCGAACTTGTAACTTTTCTGATTCCTGAACAGCTGTGGACAGAACATCGGAAAGCTGTAGGGTTTATTCCCGCTGTTGCGTCCTCCCCTGCCCCTGCGTGGTTCCGGGCGGCAGAAGCTACCGTACATTATCATCGCGGTCAGGTCGCTCTTGGCAGATCGCGCGGCGACGCTGTCGAGTTTCCCGAGACACAGGCGCAGGAGGCCAAGCCTGCGAGAGAGGTCGCTCTCAGGGGTACGATTGCAAGTTGGTGGACGCGCGCCGCTAGTGTGCTAACCACTTTGGCGAAACACGGGGATACATATTCTGGTATTAAGCAGCAGTTCCTCCGCTCAGACGCTGCCGGGCGCCTCAAGGAGGAGGTTCCAGAGCGCGGTCACCAAGTTCTTCGGCACTCTGTTTGTTACTCTTGGGATTGATGGCTGCAGTTTTTCGGACGCACGGCTGAGAGTTCTCTGGAAGAGCTCAAGACCGTGGCTGAGGCGGCTGATCAGGTTGCTCGGTGGGTTCAGCGGCGCGCGCTCAACCAGGCGATGAGCGAGTTCCGCACGTGGGCGGAGTCTGCCCTAGCTGTGGGTGCTCCATAGGGCCATCAGAGAGCAACCATTGGTCAGCGACACATTGGAAGTCAATGGCAAGTCAATTGTACACCCTACAGACATCATGGACAACAAGAGAGAACATTGGCTTTCACTGAGGGGCCCGTCAGGCCAGCCGTTTTTTCATGATATTCGGCAGAGAGTTCCAGACGAGGCGCTTCCTCCCCTTGATGGTGTTATCCTGAGGGAAGCGTCTGGTAACATGAAGTGCGGTGCTATGGGCGTGGATCGTCTGACACCGTTGGACACCTCTCGGCTTCCAGACCCAGCCCTCGACGAGCTCCCCGCGCTTCTCAATATCTGTGAGGCGCGACAAGTTTGGCTACATCCGCTTTTGTTGACTATTGGGGCGCTGCTTCCCAAGAAGCTCCAGGGAGATCGCGTGTTAGGATCGCCCCCGCACATCGCACGATTGTGGTCAGCAGCTCGCGAGCGGCATGTTCGTACTTGGACAGACCAACGCGAGGCGCATTGGGATGCTGCGATTCGTGGCAACTCGGCGATCCGCGAGGCATTCTTGCGAGCGCTTGACGAGGAGTTGTCAGTGAGGTTGTCCACAGAGTTTGGGCACAGGCTTATCGACCTGGCCAGCTTCTACGAGACGATCGGGTGGTTGCTGTTGGGTCAGACATGCGCTGCGGCTCGATCTCCCCGCGGACATCCTGGGGCTGGAGCTGCTGCAGTGCATGGCCCCGCGCTGCGCACGCCAGTCTGGCGCCTATTCGGCGCCTTGCGACCCCGCGAGGTCGATCGTCCAAGGCCTTGGGTCGGGGACGCGCTTCGCCGAGTGCGTCACGTGCCACATCGTGGCGAACATATTGACGCTGTACGTCGACATGTCACACAGGCTGTGGATCGACGACTTGAGCCAGAGCTACCGAGCATCGCGACGCGTTATGACTGCGAATATGGTTCAATGTTTATCCGAAACTTGCGAGGCCATCCAGACAGCCGGTTTGCAAGTCTCCCCGAAGAGCGCGATCCTTTGCACTCGGCTGTGCGACGCCAAGGTGATTGCGCGACGCTTGCGACTGAAAGGCCACCGCATCAATGCGGCGGGCCAGACGGCGCACCTCGGCGGGGACATGGGCGGCGGCAAGCGGCGCGCGAGAACTACCAGGACAGCGCGCGCGGCTAAGCGCGATCGGGTGAGCAAAAGGGCGATGCAGTACGCTCGTGCGACGAGACGGTGCGGCATGACGAGCCGTCTCGAGCAGCGAGGGGCTCAGGCTGCTGGCGCACGTGGCCATCAGCTCCACGGCTTGTTCGGCCAGCAGTTGTTGCAAGTCAGACTCAAGTTAGCGAACGCAGTTGCTCCGAGATTGGCAGAGCGACGTTTGACTACGTTGCTCGACCTTCGCGCTCATCAGCGCGACCCTGCTTGCAGGATGCCAGTGGAGTGTTTGCGCTTATGGCTGTCACGCTGGACTTCGGTGCCGCAGATTCGGTCAGGCATCGCGCAGTCGCGGCAGCAGCTGGCGCAGGAACTCAGAAGCATGGCTCCAGAGCGGCGGCCAGATATATTCGAGCGCCCCAGGGCACGGTCATCGCACATCTGCTCGAGGCGGGCTGGGGCCCCGTCAGTCCGTCAGAGTGGCAGATTCCATCGGATGACACTGGCATGATCAACGGCTGGGAGTTTAAGGTCGAGAATATCACGGGCATCGGTAATACAACCCCCTGGATTAAAAAGTGGAGACCGCAGGGGCCGAGGTAGACGTGGTTTGCCTCCCGTTAGGCAGCGGGGCCCCGGGACAATGTTGGATTTGTTGCCAATTCTGGAGTTTCTGGTGCCTCCATCATCCCTTTTAATATTATAAAGGCCAAATGGGGCTCCGACCGGAAAGTGGGATTCTGCCTAGGACTTCCTCAAAACAAGTTTCCGGTCGCCTTCCAGGGCGACCGGAAATTCTGCCATGCCACCGGAAAGTGGCGATTCCGCGTGGGACTTCCTCAAAAAAATATTCCGGTCCCTTTTGAGGCCGCCAGACAGTGGCGATTTCGCGTGGGACTCCCTCACACATTACTTTTTGTCGCATCTCATGCCACCAGAAAGCGACGATTTCGCTGGAGCTTTCCTGACATTCGAGTTTCTGGTCTCATGTACGCTCACACAGACGCCGCGGACCTATTCCTCTTCCCACTCTCTCTTCTTATCATCACAGTATTGGATTGTTCGGGCTCGCATGCTCTCCGTGCAAGTCAGATTCCAGTTGCCACAGCCTCGCGCGCGCGGTCCTATCTGCGCCTGGGCGGATGTCCGCAGGGATGGCCGTTGCATCGTTCGGTTCACAGGTTTGTCTTGGAGTCATCTTGAGGCCATCTTGAGGTCGCGTCGGGTCGCAGGCCCCCCTGTGGGAGGTTCGATCCCAGGGTCATTTTGGGGCGACGCGGTTGACCCAGGATGTACGGTCCAGAATCGACGATCCAGGATCGATGATCGAGGATACACGATCGATGACCCAGGACCGACTGTGGAAGAGCGAACCCATATCGATCGGAAACGAGGCTTTGGGTTCCACGGCCGATCAAAGTTCGACAACCACCTAGCGATTGAGGGTCGGAGATCGAGGGTCGAGGATCCAGGGCCGTTCGGACATCGAGGAGCCAGGATCGAGCGGCCACGATCCGTCGAAGTTCGACGCTGGATGGCCGATCGAAGAGCGACGATCGAGAACCGATGTTCCAGGCTTGATCGAAACTCCAGGCTCCAGAATGCCTGGCCGATCGAACATCCATGATCGAGGTTCGATCGAGGCTCGAGGATCGAGGATCGAGGGCCCCAGATACTTCGAGGGTCGAGGATAGAGGTCCGGTCGAACAGCGACCATCGACTTCCCAGGATCCAGTCCCGATCGAAAGTCGCGGCTCGAAAGCCGAACGACGGACGAATACCAGGATGCGGTTCTTTCGGTGTAGCTCCGATCTCAACTTTTTAATCCAGGGGGTGGTATTGATATCCCACAGCAGTTGTCCTCAGAGTTCACGAGTACCGTTCAGGGGCAATTGCGGTTTGCTGCCTCGTCCCATTTCGATGGAGCAGGGGCGGGGCAGGGAGTTCACAATGCGTCGCGTCGCCAGCTGCTTCGCCAGCTGGAGGCCGCCCCAGGCGGTGGGCGGTTGGCGGGGCTTTTTGTCGGCGTCTGTTGCAGGCGCGTCGTGGCCGCGCACGCGGAGACAGCAGAGGTCCAAACAGAATATTTCAGAATGGTGCATTCGATGCAACGTGTGCAAAGAGACATCGTTTCATCGAGCTTGTGAGTGCTCAAATCGCAAGCCTCGCGAGATCCACGCGCTCTCGGACGAGTTCGCGGCCGAGGCGCAAGCAGGGCGAGAGCCAGAGGAGCGTTTCCGGGTGCGGGGCCTGCCCCCAGCACCGTGGCTGTCGGTGCCAGAGCCGATCCAAGAAGAGGATTGGACTTGCCATGGCGCTTCAGGCTTCGCAGGGGCTTGTTTTCCATAGGGTTCTGAGCCGGCGCCCACCTTCATCTTCGGCGACGCGAGCGGGGGGCAGATGCACGGGATGCTGCTCCACGGCGCGTTGGGCCGGCGGCGGTTGCGCATTCGGACCTGGCCAGCGACGCGACAATGGAGATCGGCGTTTGGGGCGGGCCCCCAGGAGCCACCCAGACCGCGGCGCGAGGCGAGCTGTTCGCCTTGTACCTCGCGGCGCGAGGAGGCCGCGGTCACCTCGTGTTCGTCGCAGCCAGTGCTGCAGTCTGTTCAGGCTGGCATAGCAGCCTCCCTTTCGCCCCAGCAGGTGAACACGCAGACCTCTGGTTCCTCATTGGCTCCGTCTTGAAAGCTCGAGGCTCCCAGTTGTCAATGACTGTTCTCGCTGTGCGCTCTCATTGGGAGACAATAGATATGTGTAACAGTAGGGCCCCCGTCCCACTTGTCCTTGGTAATGACGTGGCCCACGAACGAGTTAGCTGGAACAGCTGCAGGCACAGTGCGAGTGACTCCCAGTGTACGTGCGCAGTTCTTTCGCACCGAGCGCACGGCATGGCTTGTGATAGTGAAAATATGGTTGAGCACGTTGGAATCAATTGAGACCGAGAAAGATCACGGGGGCCCGAGGCCCCGTCTGAGGCACCCAGGTCCGCGCCCTCCAGCTCCAATGATCCGTAGTATGGGTCGGTCTCAGCATCAGCTTAGTGAGTCAGATTCAGGCCTTACTTGTGAACGTTGTAAAGGGGTCGGCCTCCCAGGCCCAGAAGAAGGCCTGGCTGGACTCTCAATGTTCCCCCCCTTCCACGGGCGATGGTGCAATTTGGGAACCCCTTCCAGGGCAGCGGGTGCACGTTGGGGGAGGGATATGCCCATTCGTCTCACCGTTTTAAATATCATGCTGGACTGGCGGCTTGGTTCTGCACTACCTGTGAAAGCTCTGCTGAATAACAGTTCGCTAAGTTATCCAAGGAGTGTGATCCTAAGCGTAGTCGTCAAGACAACATTAATATAATTCAACAGGGTTTATGGCCCAAGCACTATAGCAAAGCTGAGCGAGCCAAGCGTGCCGCCGCGGGGAAGCCCGTGTAAGTTTGCTGTTTGGGGCCTCTATTAGTAACCGACGTCGTCGCCATATCCGTAACTCCGTAACTCCTCCTCCTCCTCCTCCTCCTCGTTTTCCTCCTCGTCCTCGTCCTCCTCCTCCTCCACCTCCTCTTCCTCCTCCTCCTCCTCCTCCCCCTCCTCCTCTCTGCCAGAGCAGTCGTGGCCCGCGTGGCCGCGACTGGTTTTCCTCCCCCGTCGCATGCCCTGCGGTCGAGGATCCAGGGCCCGAGGGTTCTCGCGTGTCTGCCTTCGGGTGGGCCCCCTGGGGGGGCCCTCGTGGCCACTGACGGGGCGCGGCTCGCCTTAATGCGGGCATGTCCCTCTGCAGGGGGGAAATTCAAAAGTAGCCCAGTGCGACCCTACCTGGGAGATGGAGCCCTTAGGAAAACAGCATTCGTAGCAACGGTAAACCTAAGCTAAAGTTAAGGTAAAGCTAAGCTAAAGCTAAGCTAGAGCTAAGCTGAAGCTAAGCAAAAGCTACGCTAAAGCTAAGTTAAAGCTAAGTTAAAACTAAGCTAAAGCTAAGCTCAAGCTAAACTGAGCTAGCGCTAAGCTAAAGCTAAGCTAAAGCTAAGCTAAATCTAAGCTAAAGCTAATCTGAAGCTAAGCTAAATCAGAACTAAGCTAAAACTAAGCTAAAGCTAAGCTAAAGCTCAGCTAAAGCTAAGCTAAAGCTAAGCTAAAGTTAAGCAAAGCTAAAGCGAAAGCTAAAGCTAAAGTTAAAACTAAAGCTAATGCTAAAGCTAAAGCTAGGGGCGCAACTGGGGGAACCGCTCCCAGGGGACAGGGGGAACCGCCCGGGGCGGAGCCCACTGCCCGGCCCGTTTAAGCCCAGCGAGTAAAAACCCTCTAGGCAGAGCCTAGATAGGGAAATAGTCACGCATGGTCTGGGGAATATTCAAGAATAGTTTAAGATAGTCAAAATAGTCAAAACATGTCACAAACATAGCAAAACATAGTAAACTAGCCAAGCGTCGTCAAACATGTTCAAGAATAGTCAATGTGTTATATATGTTTGTGTATATCTATACATATATTCAAAAATAGTACAAACATATCAAAACATATGTTTTGACGATTGTGCAATATGTTTTGAGTAATTTTGTTTTGTTCGCCCTCGATCCCCCTGTAGGAGGACAGGCCCGACTTAAAGCTCGCCAGGGATTCTGGGCAGTTGTTGTGCGAAGCCGTCTCAGGTCAGCCCCAGGGGCGCCAAGAAAACCGCGCCCCGCGCCTCACAGTCCAGGCCGGCGGAACTGTTCCTCTGCGGGGGTCTGCGCGTGGGCGCGAAGAGGGCCGCGCTTCGCGCGGCTCCGAGATAAACACGCAAGTGTAACCGAGCTCAGATTGTTTGTTTTCCTTGCTGAGGAGGAGGAGAAGGAGGAGGGAGAGGAGGAGGGGGAGGAAGAGGAGAAGAGGAAGGAGGAGGAAGAGGAGAAGGAGGTAGGAGGAGGAGCAGGCGGAGGAGGAGGAGCCTCCTCCCCCTCCAGATCGCCACACGACCGCATGCAGCGGCGAGGGCGCTCCTAGGGGCCCTTTCCTCTGCTGCTCTTCCGGCTCGCCATGGCTATCGGCAGCTCTGTCGGTCGGCCGGTCGGCCTGCAGGCAGTGCGCAGTGCAAGCGGCAAGAACGACGACGACGGCAACACGATGATAGACGTCAGGGCGTGCTCCTCCTGCTCGTCCACGCCCTCTCATCCGCCTCGGAGGTGGGCAGGGGTCCCAGGAGGCCTCCGGAGGCCCAAGAAGGCCCAGAACCATCCAGGAGCCACGAAGCCTTTCAATCTTCGAGACCCAGGGCTCAAGGCTCGCGAGGAGCCGCCGAGGAGGAGGAGGAGGAGGAGGAGGAGGAGGAGGAGGAGAAGGAGGAGTAGGAGAAAGGGGGGAAGGAGGAGGATGAGGATGATGACGAGGAGGACAAGAACAATAATGATAATGTGACAAAAGAGGATGCGGATGATGATGATGATGATGATGATGATGATGATGATGATGATGATGATGATGATGATGATGATGATGATGATGAGGAGGATGAGGATGAGGATGAGGATGAGGATGAGGATGAGGATGAGGATGAGGATGAGGATGAGGATGAGGATGAGGATGAGGATGATGATGATGATGTTGATGTTCATGATGATGATGACGATGATGATGATACTGTTGATGCTGATGATGAAGCTGATGATATTGATGATACTGATGATGGTACTGATGATGATGCTGATGATGATTGTGATGGTGATTGTGAAAGTGAAAGTGGTGATGATGCTGCTGATGATGATGATGTGAAGGATCATTGTGATGGTGACTGTGACGGTGATGGTGATGGTGATAACGATGACGATGACGACACTGACGACGACGATGCTGATCCCGATGATGATCATGATTACGATGATGACCCTGATGATGATGATAATGTCGCTCATGATCATGATGATGATGATGATGATGATGATGATGATGATGATGATGATGATGATGATGATGATGATGGTAGTGGTGGTGGTGGTGGTGGTGATAATGATGATGATGGTGAGGATGATGATGCTGATGCTGATGCTGATGCTGATGATGCTGCTGCTGCTGCTGCTGCTGATGATGATGATGATGATGATGATGATGATGATGATGATGATGGTTATGGTGATGGTGATGGTGATGGTGATGGTGATGGTGATAATGCTGCTGCTGATGATGATGATGAGGAGGAGGAGGAGGAGGAGGAGGAGGAGGAGGAGGAGGTAGAGGGGGCCCAACAAGGCCCAGAACCACCCAGGAGCCACGGGACCCCCCGAGCCTCAAGTCCATGGGGGCTCGAGGACCGGCTCGAGGATCTCAGGAGAGGTCAGGAGCAACGAAAGGGGGGCGTAGGAATAGTGGGGTGTTGCATCGACTCCCAATCGCCCGCTGATCGCCAATAGGGGCCCGACAGCCCCAACCCCCAACCTACCCAGGAACGTGTGGATTCACCATCGGGAGCCTGTCGCCGATCCGTCGGCGATGTATTGCCGACTCCAGGTCGATGTTCCCCCCCCCCGTGCCCCAGACATCCGGCTGATCTGTTTTTTTGGTGCGTGGACCCCAGAGGTCCCGGAGGGCCCCCGGAGGCCGAAAACTGCCAGAATCTTGCCGCTCCAACTTTTTTGGAGCGTCGGATCTCAGGGGCCAGCCCCGCCCTACGGCGGAGGCCTCGTCTTTCTCCTCGCCGCCGCGGCTGCTGGCGCGCCCTCCCCCCCATGCGCCCTCCAAGGGGCCTGGCCGGCTGCGGCGTGAGACCTTGCCATGTGGTGGGGGCGCGCATCAAGAAGCCGTATACTTCACGTCCGGGTACCCCGGGTTTCTTCGCTCCGCGAGCTGCGCGGTGCATTGCCGCAGCCGTTGGAGACGCTGCTGCGTGAAGGGTGCTCTGGGCTTCCCCTGGGGTGCACCTCGCGCGCGGGTGTTCAGGGTTGGGTTTCTCGCGAGGGTTTCTTGCGGCCGCGCCCGCACTGTACGCCGGGGGCGTTCGTTAAGGAATGTGCCCAGGAGGTTTCGGACCCTGGCGGCCACATCCATGGCCAAGCTTCAGTTGGCGCTGCAACGGCGTTCAGACCCTAGATTCCTTATCTCATGGTTCCTCATGCCATGGGAGGGAGGACAGGGGAGGTCAAAGTTCGCTAGAGAGTTTCGGTTTCAGGCGGCGCCTCGACTGAGGGGGGGACCGCGGAAATCCCGTTCTCGGTCCGTCCGGGGACGGGCTGTTTTACCCATTTCAGGGACCACTCCTCTGGGGCGTGACGGCGAGGCGACTGCGAGTACAGCCGAGTGCCTGTTTTGATACCTGGCCAGCGAGTTTCAACATCGTGAATCGGCCCTCTAAGCTGCCTAATCCCACCAGCCCTCTGGGCGTCGGTGGTCTAGAGAGTTTCCTCTTCCAACCCCCTTCTCCCCCTTCGGGGAGGGGTTTACCCCTCCCCCTACCCCCTCCCCTGGACCTGGACGGAGGGTTCCGCGGGTCGTTGGGGCGTCCAAGATGGCCCAAGACGGCTCCAAGAGCGAAAAGGCGAGAAAGCAAAAAAAACACTGATTTCCCTGGGTTTTGCCGTGCCCTCACTGCACCCCGCCCCTCGCCAGGAGGGGAGCGGCTCCCGAGGGAGACGGGCCCTCGGGCCTCTCGCGCCCTCCTCGTGCCCCTCGCGGGGCCCTCCGCGGGCCCCCGGGCCCGGCAGAGAAGGGCCCGGGGATGGGGGCCCGGTCCCGGGGGAAGGCGCCTCCCTGGCACAGGGCCCGCGTGGCCCGCGTGACCACGGCTGCTTTTCCTCCTCCTGCTCCTGCTCCTCCTCCTCTCTCCTCCTCCTCCTCCTCCTCCTCCTGCTCCTCTCCTCCTCCTCCTCCCTCCTCCTCCTCCTCCTCCTCCTCTTCCCTCCTCCTCCTCCTCCTCTCCTCCTCCTCCTCCTCCTCCTCCTCCTCCTCTTCCCCTCTTCAAAGGGTCCAGGACCCGCTTCCCTCAGGACCTGCCCCCCCCCCCGAACAAAACAAAGTACCCTGAAGTCGGGCCCGTTCCTCTGCAGGGGGAATAGTCAAACATAGTCAACAAATAGTCTCGGGACTATTTTTTGTATTTTTGGGCATCTGTGGGGTCTTTTTGGGGGTATTTTAAAGTTTTCGCCCAAAATCTCCCTGTAGGGGGACATGCCCGACTTAAAAGTACCCCTTGGTCGTTGAAAGTCGGCATTGCTGGACTCTCTGGTCCCAGAATCTACTTTGGGCGCCTTCCTACTTTCAGGGTTGGACGCTCTTCCCTCTTCCCTCCTCCTCTGGGGGGCGGGCGTCGATCCAATGTTTTTCCAGCGCCTTCCTGCTTCGTATGTCTACCCACCTCTTCCGACCGTCTGGCGTGCTCTTCCCCCCTGTCTGCTGCAACTCATGGGAAGCTAAGCTGACTTCAGCACCGGCGCTGGTGCATTCATGGTCGAAACACGACATAAACGTCGAATCCCGCTTAATCTGGCTTAGTGCTGCGTTTTCGCCCCGGGCTTAAGCCGAAGCCTCTCATCGTTCTCACGAACCCGTCTCAGGAGTTCAGGAGCGAAAGAAGACACGTGCATGAGCCCACGTTGGCTTTCAGAGCACGCGTTGCGCGAACGTTCGTGTCGCGCGCCTGCTCTCGCGGACCAGGGGGCCATGTTCATATACGTGTTTGGGCGCGCCCGTCCTTCCCATACATCTGGCTGCTCCCATTTTTTCGATGCGTGGGCCCCGGAGGTCTGTACCATTTCCTCGGGACCAGGTTTTCGTCCTGAGTCGTTTTTTGACGCTCCCGTTGCCCGGCGAGGCCCCCCCGAGGCCGACAGCTGCTACCCAATCCCGCCGCTCCAGTTTTTTGGGGATCCTCGGATCTCAAGGTTTGTGGGCTCCCTGCGAGTGGCATCCCGACCCCCCTGCGGTGGACCGAGGAAGAAGAAACCACATGAACATAAACTTTTGGCGCTCCGCGCGGATTTCGTGGATCCGCGCCTGGGCCCCCCCCGCGGCTGCTCCGGCGCCGCCCCTGGCGCGCTCCGCGCGCCAGGGAGGGGGGCCCCAGGCGCGAATCCAAGATATCCGCGCGGAGCGCCACACGTTTTAAGTTTGTGTGTGTGTGTGTATCTGTGTGTGTTTGTGTTTGTGAATGTGAATGTGAATGTGAATGTGAATGTGAATTTGTGTGTGTGTGTGTCTGTGTCTGTGCCTGTGTGTTTGTGTTTGTGTTTGTGCTTGTGCTTGTGCTTGTGCTTGTGTTTGTGTGTGTGTGTCTGTGTGTGTGTGTCTGTGTGTGTTTGTGTTTGTATGTGTGTTTGTGTTTGTGTGTGTTTACGTGTTTTGTTTCTTACTTCTAGCGGAGCGCCGCCCCCCTCCGCGGCAGCCGCCCCGGCTCGGGCGCCAGGCCGCCCGATCGGGGCCTCCCCCCGTGGGGGGGGGGCGCCGTGGCCTCCAAGAGGAGCGCGGCGCGCGGCGCGGCGCGGCGGGCCTCCCCCTCCTCCTCCTCCTCTTCCTCCTCCTCCTCCTCCTCCTCCTCTTCCTCTCCTCCTCCTCCCTCCTCCTCCTCCTCTCCTCCTCCTCCCCTCCTCCCCTCCCCCTCCTCCTCCTCCTCCTCCTCCTCCTCCTCCTCCTCCTACTCCCCTCCTCCTCCTCCTCCCCCTCCTCCCCCTCCCCCTCCTCCTCCTCCTCCTCCCCGGCGCGCGGCGCGGCGCGGCGGGCGCTCCCGCCGCGCCCCATGTTCTTCGCCCAGGGCGGCGGGTTCCCCGGGTTCCCGGGCGGCCTCTTCGGCGGCAAGGGCAAGGCGCCAACGTGGGGGGTGGAGGGGCGCAGGCCACGCGCTGGCACCGGCGGGATGCTTGCAGCTCCTCCTCCTCGAGGAGGGCTCCTCGAGGAGGACCCTCGAGGGCTCCTCGAGGAGAGGGCCCCTCGAGGTCCTCGAGGACTCCTCGGGGAGGGCCCCTCGAGGAGCCCAGGGTCCTCCTCGAGGATTCCTCGAGGAGGGCCCTGAGGTCCTGGTGTTGCAGTTTGTGTCGCACGGGCGTTGTCGCCCCGTTTCGGGCCCTATGGGACTCTCACGGACCGATGCGGCTCGAAAAAAAGCCGCAGGAAGATGGGGTGCAGGGCTTTGGTCGTGATATGTTTCGATGTCGCAGTCCTTTGGCAACGTCGGATCTCAGGGAGGGAGGAGGAGGAGAAGGAGAAGGAGGAGGATGAGGGGAGGAGAGGAGGAGGAGGAGGAGGGATAGAGTGGAGGAGGGAGGTGGAGGGAGGTGGAGGGAGGAGGAGGAGGAGGAGAGGAGAAGAGGAGAAGGAGGAGGGAGGGGAGGAGGGAGGAGGGGAGGAGGAGGAGGAGGAGGGGACGGAGGAGGAGGAGGAGGAGGAGGAGGAGCGAGGGGAGAGGAGGAGGAGGAGGAGGAGGAGGAGGAGGAGGAGGAGGAGGAGGAGGAGAAAGAGAGTCGAGGACGCGGGTCGGGGCTCTTGGGGGCGTTCTCCGTGGGCCACCAGCGGCCATCGGAGGCCTCTTGGGCATCCGGGGACTGGCGGAGTCCCTTCTTGCGGTGCCAACTGCGCACCGACGCCGGTCCTGGCTGGGAGCAGTGTACGCCCTCCTGGCCAAGCCAGGATGGTGTAATCGTGGGCGCCCAAGAGCCCAGACCTCCTCGAGTCATGAAAATCACGACGGGAAGTTTTTCGCGATTTTCGGCCTCTGAGGGCCCTTACCGAGCCTCGGGACCGTCAAAAAACGATTCGGGATGAAAAACCCGTCCCAGGGAATGGGTCTGGACCTCTGGGGGTCGCGTCATGAAAAAATCATGACGTCGGGGGTCTGGGGGGCGGGGGTCGGGTTGACCCAAAAGGAGGTCCAGCAGTTGTTGGGTTGCAATACACTTGGGGCGTGCAATACATTCCGGGGCGCAAGTGTGTTGCTGGATCTTCGCGTGCAAGACATTGCTTGCAAGACACTGCAATACAATTCTCCGGCGCAATACATTTGCGATACCATTGCCCCGAACCTGTTGCACCACCCCCTTTCAGCTGGACCCCCTTTTGGGTCACCCAAACAAGAGGTCACCCAAACAAGAGGGGGTGATGACTAGGGGGGTGGGTGGATATCATGGCGTGGGCCACGACATCTCCTCAGATTTCATGGCGCCTCTTCTTGTTTCATTACGTCCCTGGCCCCCCCCCTTGGTCCGCGCACATGCCGCCGGCCATAAGTTGCCCCCCCCCTTCTTGGACGCCCCCCTTCGTGGCCGCCCCCGATGCAATCACGCGGTGATTTACGGGCCCAGGATGCGCCTGTCCAAGACCGATCAAGACCGGCGTGGGGTGTTCTTCGGGCGCCCCCCCCCTGCAAGGGCAAGGGCGGCATCTTCGCGGACGGGGGCGAGGACGAGGACGAGGACGAGGACGAGGACGAGGGCGCGGATGGCGGCATGGGCGGCAGCTTCCGCGACATGTTCGGCTTCGGCACGAGCGCCGGCGGCAGCGAGCGGAGCAGCTCGGCCAAGCGGGAGGTCGACAACACGAGGCTCTACGCCCTCCTGGGGGTGGAGCCGAGCGCGAGCAGCGGCGAGATCAAGAAGGCTCAGGAGGGACAGAAACACACAGACACAATGAATCGTCGAGTCCCAGGAAAATATGGGAAAATATGGGAATTGGGCGGGAAGACAAAAAAACAAAAATATAGAAAATTATAGGGGAATCATTTTCTTTGTGTGTATTTATTTGTGTGTTCCAGGGCCCCTTCAAAGGCGTACCACCGCATGGCTATGCGGCACCACCCAGACAAGGGCGGGGACCCAGAGACCTTCAAGGACATCCAGCAGGCCTTCGAGGTCCTCGGCGACGCGGACAAGCGGAGGAGATACGACCAGCTGGGCGAGGAGGCCCTCGACGACGACGGCGCGTCCTTCCGGGGCGGCGGCCCGCGCCGCAACCAGGCCCAGCGCACGAAGGACAAGGTCCGGCTCATGTGGGTCACCCTGGAGCAGCTCTACACCAGCGTCACGAGGCTGTTCAGTCGGGCATGTCCCTCCACAGGAGGAACCTCCAAAAATAGGCCCAAAGTAGTCCGTGGACTATTTTTCAAGTATGTTCAATACCATGTTTGCTTATGTTGCTCCTATTTCTTATTCTTCCTCCAACATCCCCCTGTAGGAGGACACGCCCGACCTAAAACGAGGCCCCTGGCGCACAGCCGCAAGGTCGTCGACGAGGTTGACGGCCGGCCACCCTCCCGCTGCGACGCCTGCGGCGGGCAGGGCGTCGTGGTGCAGATGATCAGGCTGGGGCCCATCGTCCAGCAGGCTTGCTGGGCGGCGCGCAGCTAGCCAGCACGTGTCGTTCCACCAATCCCCATCCCACCGGGCCATCCCACCACCCTCCTCCGCTACCTCCCCAACCTCCTCCCTCTTTTTCTCCTCCTCCTCCTCCTCCTCCTCCTCCTCCTCCTCCTCCTCCTCCTCCTCCTCCTCCTCCTCCTCCTCCCTCCTCCCTCCTCCTCCTCCCCACCATCCTACCACCCCAGTTGGAGACAAGCCCCTCGAAGCCCCCGAATGTAACAGCCTGTCTCCCCATGCGGGGGAGCAAGTCGGCCAGCGGGGCCGAGGCCATGCCAGCGGGGACAGGGCTGGGCTCAGCGCTGCTCCGAGGGGGCGCCCCGCGTCTCCGGGAGCCCTGCCCGCGCCTTCTCGCGCGGCCCCCCCGGAAGCCTCTGGAGCGGGCGGGGGGCCGGCCCCGTCGGACGCACCCCCCTCGCCGCCCTCTGAGGGCCGCGCGCCCCCCACCCCCACCCCTCCTCGCCACCCCCCCCCCGCGCGCCGCCAGAGGTTCCCCATACCTGCCCCGTGTGCAGCGGCGCCGGCAGCAGCGCCAAGCTCAAGACGGAGCGCGAGGTCCTCGACGTCTTCGTCGAGAAGGGCTCGCCGGACGGCCACAAGATCGTGTTCCATGGCAGGGCGGACGAGGCCGCCGGCTGCGAGGCCGGCGACCTCGTCGTCGTGGTCAGGGAGCAGGAGCTCAGCCACGCCGCGCAGGGCTTCTTAGAAGCAGCTTTGCTTCTTGGAACCGCCCCCGCTTCTTAGAGGCATCCCTGGTTCTAAGAAGCAGCCTTCTTCTAAGAAGCATGGGTGCGAGGGCTATTTCTCAGAAGCACCCCTGCTCCCAGGGGGGGGCATCTTGGATTTATCTGCAGATGAGAGGCTGGCGCCTCCCAAGATGCAGCCTCCGTCTGAGAAGCCTTCCCCCCTCACCCATTGTGCGCGCCGCCACGCAGGAGCACCCGACCTTCATCAGGAAAGGCGCGGACCTGTACCTCGAGCGGCAGGTCTCGCTGGCCGAGGCGCTCACCGGCTTCCAGGTCCGGGCATCGCTCGGGCGCGTGCCTGTGTTTCTCGGCGAGGCCAGGACCAGAGCATTGGGACCGGCTGGGAGCATCTTGGGCCACCCCCGGGAAGCCTCCTCGCACGCAAGCCAAGCGATGCACGGGCAATGGACGCCCGGGCGATGGCAAGAGGTCGTCGTGCAGCACCTGGACGGCCGGAAGTGGTGCGTCCGCAGCAAGCCCGGGGAGGTGCTGCAGCCACAGCAGGGCGGCGTCACGCTGAAGGCCGTGCGGGGCGGGGGCATGCCGATCCACCAGGACCCCTTCTGCTTCGGCAACCTGTTCCTCGTCCTCTCCATCTCGGCGGGGGAAGCGCAGCAGACGCCGAGCTGCACGGTGGGGCCCCTGGTGGGGGGCGCCTGGCCCAGGGCGGCCGGAGCTCTCGTATCCTCAGGTGGGCGAGGCA